GTTAGATAAAGTAGCAATTAGACCAAAACATTCAAACAAATATTTTGCCCCCGGTTCCGATACACTTCGCCGCAACTATGCCGAAACCAGGCGCCGCATAAGGGGAAAAAGGAAATAAAAATCGGGGGGGGCAAAAAAAAAAAAAAAAAAAAAATTCGGCGAGCGGCAACAGGTTGCAACAAAATGAATGTTTGACTTGCGCAGGCGCTGTTATCCTTCACATGAAAATTTAATGACCAAAACAATTCTCTGCACGCACGTTTCAAGTTTGGACAAATCTTAGGACTACGCGGATTTTCTTTAACTGAAATGTTTCAAAGCAGCCCATAAACTACTGTTTAACGTCAACCAGTCATTCCTTCACGACCCGTGAAACAAACACTTTAGAAGTACGGACAATGAACAATTCAAGGGCAAATAAGTACGCTCTCACTTTAGAGAGGTTTAGAGTTATGATTATGGCAAACGACAGATTTAATTTGAGAATTTCACAAAATAAAAAAAAAACGAGGAGATAAAAACAGTCCAAAACATTTCTTATGGATAAAAATGATGTGAAAACACTAATTTTTGTGTAGAAGTAATGAACAGTAAACGACATGAAAAGGAAAAAAATAGTCACGTGGTACAAATTTCACGTTTTACAGAAGTAAATGTATTCAATAACAATGAAAGTATTGCATGCACCATAGTTTCGTCCCCATCATTATAATAATAGGCTTATTAAGCAACAGAAAGGGAACGTCAGTTGACGGCGGCGCGCAAATCAAACAACTGGCTTGACCAATGGCTGAGCGACAAATGGCCACCGGAAGTCGAGTTTATTTCTTTCCGCGCGCATTCTCGTCGTCAAATGACGTTCCCGGTCTGTTGCTAAATCAACCTAATATGTGAATTTGTCAACACTATCAAGAAATAACACACTACATTTGGTTTTACGACCAAAGTGTAGTTTGAGAACAGGGGTTTGCTCAATGGGTTGCTAACGTTATTTCCCTTTCAATAATTGGAGACGCTAATGACATGCTTATAAAGCCACTAAAACAAATGAATGCACTAAACGACACACAATATTACAAGAAAAATATATATATACAGTTAAAAATAAACTAAATATGGTTCAGTCGTCTTCATCGGTATGGATGACCTCTTGAGTTCCAGTCTGAAAAGAAAAGCAACCAGGTTAAAGGGAAATTCGCAACGCATTTCCAGTAATTCGTTGCGATGCTAGCTAACATCAATGTTGACTAATGAAAAATCATGGTGCGTACTGAAATCTTGGTACACAGCTGGGGGCCAGACAGTCGATGATTTTGGCGATGGCCCGCAGATAGACTACGAGCAGTCTCTCTTTTTTCTTGGTCCGTCGAGCAAAACGCCCGAGACACGCAAATGACCACGCGCGTGACTGAAGGCGCGAGACTTCTCGGGCTGCCGCCCTCGTTTCTCGCGTCTCGCGGCTTCGCAACCCTCGCGCGCGCGTGCACTCTCCTTACTAACTCTGAAGAAAAAAAGAGACTGCTCGCAGTCTAGCCCGCAGATGGACCTTACCAGAGGTTTAGTTTCGCCTATAGTGCAAGCTAGAGTAAGACTAATGTCTTCCCGATAGTTCTAGGTGGAAGACAGCCCAATTTGTTGTCCCTCGTGTACTTAGATAAAACAAGAGCGGAAAATCGGTATGGGCGCGTAATGCAGAGCTATTGTAGATGTTGTGGTGTTGCTTACCGCTAACGCTTCTTCTTGTCTTCTTTGTTCATAAATCTGAAAAAGAAAATGAAATAAATCAATAAGTGCATATGAATAACACATTTTGAAATAGAACATTTAAGACAGTTGGTCGAACTGCACGCTCAGTCTGCACGCACCGAGTCTTACGGGAAGTGGAAGCAAGGGCATTTACTGGATAGCCGGCGAGCAAGCTCTCTTGGTTCCCAAGAGCTCCCCGGGAGAGCTTGCTCGCAGGCTACATGTATTTAATACTGGGGTAAGATGTAGCACGCTTTATGCATGCTGCAAGAATCAACAATGACGAAAAGCATACTGCGCGGTAATGAATAAAGAAAGCATGTGCATAAAGAAGGAAAGGAAATGCGACAAGCCAAGTTTAAATCTGGTTGCAAATGCGGTGCAAGTTAATAGCACAAAATCTAGCCTGCGTAGCTGGTGGTTTTGTTCGTGACAGCGCAAGAGTGAGATTTCTAAAGTGATGGCGTCATAAAAATTTCATTTGTGAAATTATGAGATTTGTTGGGATATTTTGAGAAGAACATCTGAAAGGCCTACTTGCCAAAAACTAGCATTGTGGGGCAAATTGTGTTGGAGCTACTAGTCCCGTTTTCTCTGACGACTTTATACAAATCCTTATAATTTTGACTCGGTTCTTAATAAATGTTATGAAGTGAGTCAAATTTAGAAGGATTTGTATGGAGTCATCAGAGCATAACTGGGCTGTTAAGCCTACCTTGAGAAATTCTAAACTTGAATCTGATGTTTGCCGTTTGCCTTATACGTAAAGCATTTAAGCAATAGAAAACGTTTTCCGTGCTTGCATAGCCTGATATAAACACGAGAGGGGTTGGGAGAATTCGAGACAGTTATGCAAACCCGAGACGAAGTCGAGGGTTTGCATAACTGTCGAGAATTCTCCCAACGCCTCGAGTGTTTATATCAGGCTATGCAAACACAGGAAAAGAGTTTTCTATAGCTTTTATAAAATAACTTTCCCGAGAAAAAAACGCAAAACTCTTTACATGGTACTGATTAAAAGAGAAATTCTTACCAGTCGCAAAATCTTGTCCACGAAGTCTTGCACGCGCAATCAGTTCTTGTTTTGCAAAAAAGATTCTTTGCAAAATACGGATTTTTCTCGCTTAAAATGTCAGCTTAAGCGAAGAAAAATTGACTCGCCTTCTTTGTGACGATTTTCCATGTTTTAGCCGACAAAGGAATGGGTAAATAAAGTAAACTTGTCGAGTTTTGAACTCGAAAACTTTTTCAAATTCGTGCTTGCGTGATTAGCGCGCGAAAAGCCAAACAACTTGACAGCACAACCATGTTTACATACTCTCATGCAAACACTGCTCTCGGCCAATCAGAGCGCGCGTACTATCTTAGTTATTTTATAAAAACTCTTTTTAAATATGTTGGGGATAAAAATATTGTGAAAGCATATACTAATATCCAGAAATTGATAGCTTTTCTCGAACGTTAGAAACTTCAAGGTAATATTTGCTCCTCGAACAGTATGTAGAGAAAAAAAAAAGTCGTTGGGTGCCCCTAAAACGCTGTTGTCACCACAGGCAAGGAAATCCAAGACAGTCTTGAATTCTGGATTCCAGATTCAAATAGTAAGAAGAATTCCGGATTCCTTGAGCTGTATTTCAGGTTCCGCGAGCAAATATTTTCCGGATTCCGGAATCCCTTACATGAGGCGACTGTTGGTGTGGTGTACGGAACAGATTGAAGCCACAGAAAAAGGTTTATGTTAAGTATCAGTCACCTCTTCAGCTTCTTGTCTCTCGTCATCAGTGTACTCATCTTTATCCAATCTTTCAAGTCGCCGAAGACTGATCAGCACTTCTATACGATAATCATCTTCATCAGATACCGGACATTCTGTGAGGTACACACGTGTAATGATTACAATAATGCGGTTGCAGTTCATTGCTACAGCTGAAAAATTGTCATTGTTTATAATGGAGAAGAGAAGTGCGACGTCAGGTTACCATGGTAGCAAAATTTCTGGATCTCAACAACCTTTCTTGACAGAGGCGGCCATCTGCATTTTTGAACGATGGAAGAAAAGTATGGGCTACCGTTTTGTTCCTGAGTGCAATCATGCACAGGAAAATAATACATATTATTTTTCCTTCATTTTTTCTGCCATATTTGCATGACCACGGCTTGTTGAGATCTAGAAATTTTGCGTGGCAACTTGTCGTAAAGACTTCTCCTATTGACAATTATGGTGGCACATGTATCTTACATGGATAATCCAAAATCAGAAGGTTCCTTTCAATTAAAATACATCATGTAAAAATTTATGTGAAGATATGATGATCGCAGTGGTAATTGCAATTTAAGCAATTGCAAATTAACCCCAAAACAATTTCGGGACTTCAACGGGATTCGAACTCATGGCCTCTGCGTTCGCGCTGCAGTGCTCTAACCAACTGAGCTATGAAGACCGATACATGGGAGCAGGCCGACTTGTTGATTTCATCTTAACCCGTGAAAGGAATGAAACATAGAATGATGATATTCTCTGTTTTCCAATTCCCCATAATACACTCTGTTTGCCCCCCAAATTTTGCATAAACCATTGTTTTTAAATGCTCCTGGGAGTATTGCATTTTCCCAAGAGCATTTTAAGACAATAAGTTATGCAAAATTTGGGGGGCAGACAGAGTGTATTATGGGGAATTGGAAAATAGTCAATGAATTGCCGAATATAAATTTATGTCAAGATATGATCGTCGCAGTGGTACTTGCAATTTAAGCAATTGCAAAGTGACCCGAAAAAAAAATTACATACAATTGAAAAAGAGGAATGAGATTAAAACTTCGGAAGTAAAAGGGACAACAACAACAACAACAACAGATCAGAGCAGCGTACATTCGCCTTTAATCCGTATCCATAAAGAACTAACTGGGAAACTAAGTGTCTCTGATTCTCTCAGTTTTCTAAATAAATGTGCCCGATAAATAGGGTTCTCTTTTGGGAATGAAGAATTGTGTAATTGTCATGAGGTATCCAATCTGATTTTGTCGTACGTTTGAATCATAGCTGAGGTACGAGAAATGTTCTGATTTTGACTGTTCAGAACGAGGCTAACCCTCTCACTAGCAATAGAGGCCAAATAAATCAAAAAATAAATAAATAAAACTCAAAGAGTAAAGGGGTTGAGAGCACGCCCTACATAGTACACGTGATGAGAGCTTGTGATAAACTGGTCTCGTAAATCCCAACAGAGAGTGAACTAACAAAAAATAGTAAGAATAACAAATAATTACCAGTGCACTCACCCATCAAAAGTAGCGCTCTTAAAAGCGGTAGACATTTTAGTTTGGCTACTTCCTTCATGTCTGAAACATTGTTCCCCCTGTGAAAGAGAAAGACACAAATTTTGATTGCTGTTTTTACTGCTTAACACGACACTTAAAACATATGAATTCACTTCTAATCTTTAAAACAGTCAATCATTTTACGAAATATCTGCAATAATCGATGAAGATTTTCAACTGTACCCACCTTAAATTAAGGTACTGTAAATTTTTCATATTTTCAGAGAATCCATCCAGCTTCTCAATCTGGTTATCACGGAGATGCAGTTTTGCTAGATGTTCCAGTCTGTCCAGTCCCTCAAGACTGCGGATAGTGTTTGCTGCCTGAAGGCAAAAAAATAATGATAAATAGAAAACGTTTACTACAGTGAGGTTTTTCGTGAGAAAACATACATTTAAAACATTAAAAATAGTCAGCTTTTCAAAGAGCAAAGTAGCCTCTAAGTCTTACTTTTGAAGATGGCTGCTTGAAATGAAGTATCAGATATTTTTGACTCCACAACTTTTTCTTTCCGGATTCAAAAATTTCCACGTCCACACGTATCCGTTTTCAAATCGAATTGGCCCGTCCACACGTATCCGACACGTATCTGAATTCACCCTAGTACTCAGGACTCCTCTGGGAATATTGGCAACAGAGCATGCGTCGAGGTTGCCATCTTACAGTACTAACGATAAAGAACTGGGCTCGATCTTGCTACGTCACAGGATAAAAAATTATCCCGATTCAGCATCCACCCGATTCCGGATTCATAGTGGATTAAAAAACTTGCGCACTCATATGCCGAATTCACCGGATACGTGTGGACTGAAGCCGTAACCGGAAAGAAAAAGTTGCGGATTCAAAAATAATTAAAATTAGTTAAGGTAAAGAAATACAGGCAACATTTTCACTCATATTGTCGCACAACATTGTTGCATTGCAATTTGAAAAGTGTTGTTGCCCGTGTTACCACCGTCGCTCTTAACTTGTCAGGTAATAACTTTCAATGTTGCAAGTTGCGGCTCATTTAGAAAATCCTGCGTTGTGATTGGTCAACGGTGTGTCTTGTGTCACCAAACAAAATGGCGGACGCGCTGGCCTTTCTAAGAAAGCGACGGATAGCCACCCTTAGTTTAGGATTATCAACGGACGAAGAAGGTCAAAACCACGCAAAAGAAACCGAAAGGTTTATACGAGAGAGTGGATTGCTTTGCAGGAAGAAAGGGGGTTTTACCATTAGATTGTAAAGGAACTTGAGTCGGGGAACATCATTGCTTAAATTTTTTTACATAACTCATCCAAAACTCTTGTCCTTCGCTACTTGTTTTTATAACCTGATCCACAAGTTTCCTACAGGCATGGGTGCTTTTCAAGTTTTTTGCACATATCTTTTCTGTGGGCCTCTGACATTTTTTTCACTTTTTAATTCACAATCTTGGGTCTCAACATTTTCAACCTCCACAACCTCCGGCATGTTTACTTCCTGCCTAAATTTGCCCAAGGTCTAGCGCGCTTACACACCATCTTTCCCGCGCTTTTAGTGCGAAAAAATCGACCAATCACAAGCCTTGTGACGCATGGCAACTCTTAACGCGAGTGATAAATGCAAAAAGTAGAACTCGGGTCTACTTTGCAGAACATGTTGCCGCAACTTGCTACATTGAAATTTGTTACGTGACAAGTTGAGGGCGAAGGTGGTAGTATGGGCTACAATGCTTTTCAAATTGTAATGCAACATTGTTTCGCGACAAGTTGAGCGAAAATGTTGCCCGTATTACTTGACCTTACGGCTTCTTTGTTCCATCGCACAAAAAAAAGAGAGGGTCGCAAAGCTGCACCTGTAACTCGTGAGATTTTCCCACCGAAAGGTAACAAGTTAAGACTACGAGTATCATTCGTGATGCTTGCGAATTCGTGTGCTCCCCTATCTACAAAACATACAGGCTAAACAAAGGAAATAGTAGACGTCTGCACGCAGGCAATAGTCGGACTCGTACAGCTGTAAGGGGAGTCGTTAGAGTGCTTGTGATCCAGTTGTGGGGGACGGACACATAAGACAACGATTCCTTTTTCTACATGTATTCCCGAACTTCGGTACAGTCCTTTAGAATTCAACTCCGGTAAAACTTGCCATCGCCGTGATTGCACCGTTTACGATCTACGGCAGACAAACAAAA